TTTGGAGGCCTGGGGATCTGGCTCTGCTGGAACACTTACCTAGCTAGCTTGAAAGACCCAGGCTACAATCACCAGCGCTTAGAAAACAAAGTGATATGTACATGGTTGAGACATATATTCACTCTGAAATGACTACACAAGCCAATCTCCTCTCACATTAGTGCACCTGTACAGTGTGTGTGTGTGTGTGTGTGTGTGTGTGTGTGTGTGTGTAGAATATCACACGCCCACCATCAGTGAGTAAGGGGCCTCCTTTTTAGATCTCCTTCCCAGCATTTGTTGTGTTTGTTTTCTTCTTGATAACCATTTTGACTTGGATGAGACAGAATCACAAAGTAGTTTTGATTTGCCTTTTCCTGCCGGCCAAGGATGTTGAACAATTTTAAAAGTATTTATTGGCCATTCATGTTTTTTTAATAAGAGTTTTTTTTAAAAATAATAATAATAATTTATTTTATGTATATGAGTACACTGTTGCTGTCTTCAGACATCGGATCCCATTACAGATGGTTGTGAGCCAGCATGTGGTTGCTGAGAATTGAACTCAGGACTTCTGGAGAAGTCAGTTCTCTTAACCTCTGAGCCATCTCTCCAGTCCCATATTTCATCTTTTGAGAACTCTGTTCAAGTCATTGGCCCATTTATTGATACTCAGCTTTGAATTGTTGGTGTTTACTTTTTTCCCAGTTCTTTGTGTATTCTAGATACTAGCTCCCTGTCTCAAGTATAGCTGCCAGTGATTTTCTCCTATTCTAGCACGGTCTGTTTACACTGTTGCTAGTTGCTATGCCAGGGAGAAACTTTGTAATTTCATTTAGTCCCATTTGCCAGTCCCTGGGACTGTGGTCTGTGCTATTGGATTTCTGCTGAGAAAGGTTTTACCAGTAACTGTCTTGAAATGGTTTCTCTGTGTAAGATGATTTCTCTCTAGCAGTTTCAGGTCTTAAATTAAGTTCTTTGATCCATTTTGAATTTTATGTGGGATGAAAGATAAGGATCTAGTTATTATAACGATAAAACTTAGGTTTCTAGATCAGAAACTTACTATTTACAAACAACATGGATGTCAGTTTCCTCTGTAGGCTTCTCTGCTGAGGGCACTGTGAGGAGACCCAAGATGGACCCTGAATATGCAGAAAGAAATTTCTGTTTGTTCTACACTATGAAAGGAACAGACTGGTCCTTTCTGGATCTGGCAGTTTGTATAAATAATGCTCCTGCCTCCACACCCTGAGGAACTGGTGTTCCCATGTTACAGTCCTTTGGAATGTAAGCAGATGGCTCTGGGATTCATTTTCAAATGTAAACATGGTTCTGGAGAGGAACATTAGAGCCGTGTGACACTCTTTATAGGCATTGCTTTCTTCTGCTTAAGAACCCAAGCCACATGGAAACTTGATTACACTTCAGAATTCTTTTTACAAGATAGAGATGCTCCCTTTCTTCATCCTGCATGTTGTTATTGGTGTCTAAGGACCAAATGATTGGTGTCTTCACTGAGTAGGCCAACACTGGCAGGACCTCAGTTGCCATCTGCTGAGTGAGGGAGGCATAAATGAAATAGGTGAGCTGCCTTTGGGATATTCTTGTGATCCTGAAGTTCGAGAAGCCCCTGTGAAAGTCAGTCAGAGTTAGGTTTACCTGGAGCCTGTGCTGGTTCTATGACATGAAGAGATCGCAAACAGGGTTGCCATCTCTGTTGGCATCTGGCTATGTTTCGAATCACAGCCAGAAAATGACCTGTCTTATTTCCTGGACTCCTCAAGGCCTTACATACAAGGAAGGGATTGGAGTCTCCTCTTCTTGCTGCTATACTTTACAACTTTAAGTTAACTTGTAAAAAGAAGTCAACTCAGTGGGACATGGTGACACACACCTGAAATCCCAGAGGTGGAGGGGAAACTTTAAGGCCCCTGGGCCACCCAGTGAGACCCTATTGCCAAAAAGAAAGAAAGGAAGGAAGGGAGAAAGATGGGAAGGAAGGAAGGAAGGAAGGAAGGAAGGAAGGAAGGAAGGAAGGAAGGAAATAAAAAAGAAAAAATCCAGAGGAAGAAGAGGAGGAAGGAAAAGAAGAGAAAGATAGATTATTCTCCGAGACTCTGTAATGTAGTAAGGCCTTTTGGTACCAAATGCTACTAGCTGTTAGCCTTTATCTGTGCTTCAATTTTGAGGAGAGGGAAGTAAATCATAAGAAAACCAAAAAGTGCAAGCTATTTTAATAAAACCCCCTAGGCTACTGTGGGATCTATACAGACTTGTTTCTCCTGTACCTTTCCCTTCACTAGTCATTGAGTTCCCTTTGTACCAGAATTCATGCCAGAATCATTTGGCTTCTCATTTCACTTTAAAGAAGAAAGCAAGCTAGGGGGTGGCTTACAAGAAAGGAAGTAGGCACAGAGAAATTAAGCAATTTGCTTGTAGCAGTGTCTAAACTAGGTTACCTGTGATTATCCAAGGACATGTCCTCTGCTGCAGGCTTACAGCAGTAACAGTATTACTTGATTTCACATTCTCCGCTCAAATCCTTCCTGATCATACCCATTATCCCTTTTGCCTTGCGAGAGAAAACTGTTTCCAATGTTCTACCAAAAGATTTCCATTTGCTCTTTCTATAATTGTTTTTTCGAGATAACATCTAACTCTG